CGTCGGGCGGGGAGGGCTGGAGCCGGCGCCCCCCAGCTGCGCCGGCGGCAAGCGAGTCCGTCTGTCCGTCGGTCCGAGCGCCCCGGTTGCTAGCCGAGGCAGAGTGGGGACAGCGAGGACGCTCTTCCCAACCAACCCCACCTCCTTCCCGCACTCCTGGCTCCTCCCTCGTTTTCTAGCTCAACGACTTAACCCTTTCCTGGCCACTAGGAGGCGGGGACGGCTCCCTCACCTCCACCATTCCAGCGCCCTCCCCGCCTCGGGGAACCCGGAGGCATGAATTCGATCGCCTTCACCGCGCCACGCTTCTAGAGAAATCCCTTCTTGAGGGGCTGCGGCAGTATAAGGGAACCCCGTGGCTTTGACCAGTCCCTCCGCCCCAACTTTCCCAGAGGAGGTGGACTCGCGCTTCAGTTCCCACTCTTCTTGCCGCGCCCCTAGCGATCGCCCAGGCCTCTAGTGTCTCTCCCCTTGGAGAACGCCCAGATTCCACTTTCCCAGACGTTCCCAGGCCCCGATCCCGAAGCGCGTGCGACTATAATAGCATATGCAAGAGTTCGTGTGTGCAAGACCGAGCTTAGGGGCGCGCGCGCGCAAGGAGGCTGGGGCTCCGTGACTGGGTGCTTGCATGCGCCCTTTTATAGGGGCCGAGGGAAGGGGGAGGGGCACGTGAGTGTGTGCACCGGTGAGTTGCAGGGTGTGCACCAGCGTGCGTGCCTGCGCGGGTGAGAACCGCGAGGCTGCGTGAGAATTTTGCGCCAGCGAGCTTGGAGCTTGTGGCGAGGGGGCCTGTGCCCGTGTGTGGATGCCCTTAATTGCATTTGCTAGAGGGTGCAAGTTTGGATGCGCGCACCAGTGTGTTTCAATAAACATCTTACTGTATATGTGTAATGCACTGCAAGGGGGATAGGAGATGGAGAAGGAAACAGTTGACTCCAAGCGAGCTTCTTTGATCTCCTTCTACAGAGGGGGGCATTCTGACTTCATCAGGCCCCCCTGGCCCCGCGTGGCCGCGTTTAGGCTGACACCAGCCGACCCCAGACATAAAAGTCTCCTGATGAAGGCCGCCGGCAGATCGCCCAGGCCTGGAGCCGGCCCGGGGGGCCCCCCTACTGCTCCCAAACCGCTGTGGCGCGGGCGGGGCTGTCAGTGGGTCCACTTCGGAGACCGAGGCCAGGTCGCGGCGCGGCTAGGGCGGCCGAAGCGCACCGCTGCGGTGCCAGGACCATCTGAGCGCAGCGGGACTGACCTGCGGGAGCGCGGAGCCCCAGGAGGCTGCTCCCCACCGCAAAGAAAAGGAAGCGCTCGCGAGCCACCTCGCTTCAGCCTGCTCCTCTCCGCTCGGTGCCGAAGTCCCAGGCAGCGCCTGGCGCACAGGCTGCGCTGTCTACGCGGTCTCATTTCCCCAGTCACTCTCTGCTCCAACCATAGGCTCGTTCTCCCCTCGTTCTCATTCGGTTTCTCCTATTTTCTCCCCCACTCTTACTCATATTTTAAGTCTGCTTCTTTGTTTTCTCCCTCCTTTCTTTCCCCCCTCGCTCCCTGTCATTTCCTCTTTCTGCATCTGCCACTCTTTTCTCTGTCTCTCT